TTAAAAAAAGTCTCGACCTCTTCCGGACGTTATTCCCCATAAATGGGTTTAGTAGACGGCCTAACACATTTTTCCGTCAGTTGGACAAATACATCATTAAGAACATCATGAATACCAGTCAACCGATCTCCTGTTTCATCTTCTTCAATCCCCATATTTTGCTCTCCAATGAAAGGTTCCCCATGATGTTGCCACGAAGCATTTTTGTAATCTTTATCCATATCATACAACACAACATGTTCAACAATAGTTTTTCTAACAAAGGTATATCGATTACAACATCTTTTGCAAGAACATCTAAACTTATTGGGGCCAGTACCATTCGTAACTGCTTGATCCAAAAACAAATTAATTCAATCTGCATACACTTCCAAATTTCGCGGTAATGTCAAGCAACTCTTTTCCATGTTTTACCACTATACAAGAGCAAATATTAAGTTGAAACTAAGATGCCTACAATCTTTCAATCCCTATCATGTAGGCGTAACTATTAAAATTTTCAATCCCTATCTTTCAACCTCGAACTATCACAATTGCAATTTAATTTCCAACACCTATCATAGTAAAACAAATTAAAAAAACAATAAAAGGTTAACAAAGCTATGTTTATCTACACTCTTGATTATTTATTAAATTCAAGTTTTGTATATCCTCATAGCAATTAGAGTGAAATATTTAATTAATTAACATAATATATACCTATATTACTAAATATTACCAATTTATGGTCAATTTAACATAAATATTTACAAATAATATTTATTTCAATTTCTTCATAACAAGTTAAATGAATAAAATAAACTGATTGAACATAAATATTCCTAACTTATCTTACTAATTAAATTAAAATCTCTAAATAAATAATATTGTGTGTTAAACAAACAATTTAAACATCAACAAGTTGAGTAACAAAACCTGAACTATTGAAGAATTTTGTCGTTGATCGATTCTTTACGTAGTCAGCCAACTAAAACAATGTAATGACCCATCCCCAAAAACTTATAGTCTTTATAATTTGTAAATGTGAATTTATGAAAATGCCCTTCAAGGGAAAGACGTTGACTTTTGTTGACCGTCTTGTCATGTAACATTTGTTTTCTTGGTGTATCCTCGTAGTATTCATCGCTACGAACGCTTGGGCGTAAACAGAACGAATTTGGAGTTATAACAAAGGAGTTATTAACAAATGAAGTCGAGGGCAAAATTGTAAATTTATTATTTTCTGGAATGCTCCAGATTTTTGGAGCAAAATCTGGATAGCCACGTGTGTGGCCCAGATTAAAGGGAAGAAAAATTAGGCGATGGAGATGAAAGATAAAGGAGAGGAAGGAGGATGGACGATGCCCAATCGGGAGAAAAGAAAGAAGTGAGTGACCAATGGGAAAGAGAAGAAAGGAAGAAAAAGGAGAGAGTGATGGAACACTGGATCACCCTTGACCCATTTCCTTCCCGTCGACCCAACCCGTTTCGTAGTCATTCTAACGGTTTTTTGTCGATTTTTCCGCCAAATTGCAGCCATTCACCACATAGGAACTTTTACCGGCCTTCTTCTTCAATTTCCATCCATGATTGACGGGTTTTTTATCCTAGTTTCATAAGAACACCCACATTAGCTTTGAGGGGTGCACGGCGGCGAATCCGCCATTCCTGCAATGATTTCTTTCAATTGTCATCACCAATAGCCCTCCCTTGAGTTTAGGAACAATGCCCAATCATTGGTTGGAGCGTCAGAGTTGATTTGAGGACAAATCAAGAACACCCAAATTTTAGGGTTCCAGCTGGTTCGTGGCAATTTGAAGCTTTTCCTGACCAAATTGGACTTGACCACATGTATAAAACTTGCTTAACTCGTTGAGATCTTCATTTATGTGAAGTTTGAGAATTTTTAGAAATAGTTGATTTTTTCCTGCGAGTCGGGGTGACCAAGGCGGTGCGTGGCGGCAACACGTGGGTCGAGGCATCCCTTGACCTTCCTAGGCTAAATTTGATTCTCCAATTTCGTACATGAAGTCCAATTGACGAATTTCCTTCGTTTAAACCTAGTTCCATTAAGGTCCGCCACTTGATTATTATAACAATCGACGATCCGACCGTTGGATCGTCACCAAATTTTGGTATGTTATAGTATGTAATATTTAAGGATATTAGAAATTTCCGGATCTGGAATCCAACGTACGGAGCTTCCTAAATAGGATATGTAAGTTAAGTGTTCTATGGATAAGAATTATGAGACGTGATTTGATAATTGTTTTAGGCGTCGATCGTTCGTGACACCTCAATATTCGTTCTAGGGAGTTGTAGCGTGGACCTCGGGTGAGTGGGTCTTTTTCCTTTTTATAGTGTATATATATATATATATATACACCTTACTGTTTTCCAGAAATGTTTTAAATTGATTATGCATAGCATGCCATGATTTAAATGTGTTATATTTAAATATTGCATTGTGATGAGATTTGTGGTTATGCCAAATGATCCTATGGAGGCGCAGGTAAGTTCAGGTGAGTTATTATGTGATTGAAATGGTTGAATTATATGAGCATGCATATATTCATTTAGAGCTCATCATTGCTGCACCCCGGTGTTAGTGCTCCCGTCCAAGTTAGGTGCTAGCCTGTCGTACAAGTCGCATTAGGTTACTCTGATTCGTAGGTGACACGCGCATAGCGCTAGCTTTCACGTGATCATAACACTAGACCGTACATATTTACACCCAGCCTGTTGTTCAGGTCACACTAGGTGACTCCGACTCGTGTGCTAACATAGACTGATAAGCAATAGGTCCAGTCATACAGGTCACATCAAGTGACTCCAACTGGCATGTTAGTTTAGACTGCTCTCACACCTGACTTACATTTATTATTGCTGAGATATTGTGGCATGGCATGCTTCTGTTTTTACCGCACCTGTGCATTCATTTTTCGTACCTATGTAGTATTATTTTTTGGAAACTATAAGTTTTACAGTGAGGGGTTATAACGTTTTCAAAAGGTTTTTATTAAAACTTTATTTTCAGGCCCACTCATCCTTGTTTTTCGCCCCTCCAGTTCTAGTAGCCAAGTGTTCGTACCGACAAGGATTATCAGCAAATCTTGGGGTAGACGATTACCATCGATAGTATAATTCTCACCCTATTTTACTGTACTGTACTTATACTCTGTTATCACATGTGAAATGGGTTCATACCTGTTCACTGTGCACCCTTGTACTTAGGCACTTTTAAGTTTAAATTTATTCACATCTTCCACATCAATACACTTTATGGCTTCGTCACCTTCCAGGTGTTGGCCAACACAACTCGATTCGGAGTCCTAGTGGACATCCCGGGTCAGGGTGTATCAAATAAAGCCCGTGCAAACTCAAATCAAAAAATAAAAAACCGCCACAAGTGCTTGATGAAGAAAGAAATAGAAGATGAAAAGTATGGAAGCAAAAAAAATGAAAAACTTACAAATTGAGCTGAAGAAAAGAAAAAGATTGAAGATGAAGAGAAAGAAATGAGTAAAATGAAGATGAGCAAGAAGGAAAAAATCTAAATGAACAACAAATTGAAAAAAAAATTGGCGTAAGAACAATAAAATAGTCAATTTATGTCGGTTATAACCGTCAGAATACTAAAATAATAAAATAATCAATTTTTTTTGGTTATAATAGCCACCATTAACTTAAAAACCGCCAGAATCTATTAAAAATATTTATAAAAAAAAAGAATTCAAAAATATTGACGGTTATTACTGATTTTATGGCAGTTGAATCTGACACTAAATATCCGTCAGGAATTCCTGTCGAATATAATCGACATGATTTTGTTGATATCCGCCACTAACTGAATGATGTGTCGGGTATAATTTATCCAACATAATAGTTTATTAAACCGTCACCATCATCTGACATCTAAAGCTAATACACTGGGCCCCACCCCTACCAACCATGCATCCTCACCCTTCTTCCCAACAACATTCGCCTGCTCCCCCGCTTCCTTCACCACCAAAACCACAACCCACTCCCCCACTGCCATCTTCTGCGGGCAAACTTGGGATTTTTGTTTGTCTTCTGATAAATTTTTGAGATGAACAGAAGCAATGATAATGCTTTGAAATGTGGGAAAGATGGTTTGGAAGCTGGGGTTCAAACCTGTGCCCTAAAATTCCTAACCAAAGCTCATCGTCTCGATTCGACGCTACCCATCGAGGATAGACAGAAATTCCAATTCCTAATCCGGTTCAGATGCCGGTGGCTGCGCCACTGGGCCATCTTGTTTGGATTCAGGCAGCGGAGTCGTACACGGAGGAGCAAATTGTGATGGTGCTGACTCAAGCGTGCGTGGAAATGGACTCAAGCTCAGATATTGTAGAGTAGAAGATGGAGATGGAGAGAGAGATGGATGCTGGAGAAGTGGAGAAGATGGGGAGACGACGCGGAAATGTTTTCATTGCGTACAGATGTACATGTCAATGTTTGATGTTAGTTTCTGTTTGCAGTTATTTTTGGGTTGACGAGGCTTTGATAAATGGTCAACGGTCAACTAGTTTGTGTTAACGGTTTATAGGTGATTGAGCTGGTGGGATATGGTCATTGACTGTATCTGGTGTGTCTTGGTTGGGTGGTTTTCGGACCATGTTCAATTCTTGAAGAAAATTTTAGTTGTGACGAGAATACAAGTAATAAACTACGTGTTTTAATATGAGTGATGATAAATTTTATTTTTTAAGTTATTAATTTTTTGGTACATATATCCTACCATTTATATAATGACACATGATATACCATTCAATGTGCGAGACCATCGGTCATATTAAAAAAGCTTTCCAATTCTTATACCAGGATTACTTTTTCTCGCATCCCAAGCCAAACGCGTGCTGAATACATCGCGCAGCACAAGTTGACAGGAGAGATAGAGAGAGAGAGATAAATTGAACCGCGTCATGACGTCATTGCTTAGGAGGAATCGGGCGTCATCAGCATTTTATAATTTGCAGAAAGATAAATACGAAAAGTCAGCCGTCCCTCTCAAACTTTGAAAACTGCTGCTTGTCCTTTCCTGCTTTACGACCTCGCTTACGCAATTCCCATTCGCTTACGCAATCCCCTTTCCCTTTCCCTTTCCCCGGCCTCGCAGCCACTTTGCACTTGCCACACAATTTCCTCTCCTTTCCTTTTCCTTTCTTTCCATGTAATTTCCTCTCTATTTATTATAGGCCACCGCTTCTCCTCCACTAGTCCTCCTCACATCTCTCTCTCTCTCTCTCTCTCTCTCTCTCTCTCTAATCTTGCTCAGTGCCTTGCCTTGCCTTGTGCCTCATCAGTAGCTCAGCATTGTGGAAATACATAAGATAATATAATGGGTGGATGCTTGTCTACAGTCATCGTCAGGAGGACTAGTTCAAGCGGAAGAGATGATGATGATTCGTCGTCCACTGCCAAAGTAATCTACATGAACGCATGTGTCCGCGAATACCCGGTTCCCCTTAATGTCTCCAAAGTCCTTGAGGCCGATCAATCGTCGTCTTCGTCTTCATCTTTGTTTATATGTCATTCCGACAGTTTGTATTACGACAGTTACATTCCGGCTTTAGATTCCGAAGATGAGCTGGAGGCCAATCAGATCTACTTCGTACTCCCCAGATCCAAGCTTCAACACCGCCTCAGTGCCACCGATATGGCGGCCCTCGCAGTCAGAGCCAGCCTCGCCCTCCAGAAAATTAATACCAATGCTTCTTCTTCTTCTTCCTCCTCCAAGAATGAAAAGGGAAACAAAAAGGAAAATAAGGGAAGCGGATACCGTAATTACAACAAGGCCCGCATTTCTCCGGTGATTGAGATGAATAATAATAAATATGCAAACTTGTCGGTCGAGGGCGACGGTGGTGATTTGAGCATGAATGGATTAACGATTGGAGGTGGAGGGTCATTAGCGTACAAAGGCCAGAAGATGATGAGTAGTAGCGGCCGCGGCGGTGGGTCATCGTCGGTTAGGAAATTGCGGAGATATACATCGAGAAAGGCAAAGTTGGCCACTCGTTCTTTTAGGCTCAGATTGTCAACCATTCACGAAGGCTCCGTCCTCTGATCAATTCCCTATGATTCAGTTTCACCCTCGCTAATTACTTTTGGTTTAGTAAATTTATAACCATATATTGTACATTGAAAAATGCACTTTTACCACTTTTACCACGTGTACAAGTCATCTATTTCAGTTATTGATAAATTAAGATCGAGAATATTACAATCTCATACAATATTTTTAAAACATTTCATTAATCATACATTTATTTTTATTTCATTTTAATTTCATATATCCGTTATTGAAATTTGTCGAGTTATTCGTTAAATAATTATGTGACAAACATAAGATCTACATGGCTACCAACTTTGCAGCATGTGAATAAAAAACAAATAAAAAAAGATTAATTAATAGAAAATCAATTTTTATGTTTATTTTTATTTTTAATCTCTCTGCTTCCTTGCTTGGTTTTCCCTCATCCCTTGTCCCAGTATTCACCAACGATTCATTTGCTCCGCACCATTGAATTCCATTGAGTTCATACATTTTTCTTCTTTATTAACCACAAGGCATCCAAATCGAAATCCCCAACTAAAAAAACCCCATTTCCAGATCCCATAATTTTCTCTCTCTAAAAATCTAAAACAAGAACAACATACCCCGACTAATTAACCGTGTACTAGAAGATTCAATCTGAAATCGGTGCCGAAGTAGCTGTTCGAACTTCGACAAGGACTCGTACTCATTTTGTCTCGCACGCCTGCTGCATTGTATTCCTGCACCGCGCCACAATCTGTTGTCAAACTACCGCACGCATCGAACTGATCTATCAACCCCTCACCAACCGAAGCCGTCCTGGAGATCGAACCGCCGCTGCAACTTGAAGATTGAACCCATTGCTTCCCTCTACAACCACCATCGAAACTCGCGAGATCTGCTTTTTCTCAAATCGCAGAAATACCAGAAACTGCTGTCTGAAGCCGAGCCGCCTGTTGTTGCCTGAAATCGGATCTGCATGAACCCAGAAACCTACCATTGAAACCCACTAAATCATTGCTGTTCCCGTCCGAGACCCGTATCGAGCTGGCAATGCCGTTGAACTACTCGCCTGGCGCACCCACAGTCAATCCATCTGAGAGGCGGCGAAGATGGCCTCCGATGCACTTTTCTTTAATTAATTGAAGGGGGGATGGGAATTTTATCAACACTAAGAGATGGATCTCGGATTGAGAGACTGGAAGTGGGTTGTGGTTAAGGAAGGAAGGAAGGAAGGGGGGGAAAGACGGATGGATTGGGGAAGAAGGAGCTTTCGAGCTGCAAAATTAATTGCCGTTGGTATATATCGAACATAATTTTGGAGAAGATGAGGTAGAAGACGGGTGGGAACCGTCCCCTGCCTCAGAATTTCTGAAGAGTAATTCTCATCCATCTTTTAATGAATTTGTTAATTACAAATTTGTTTATTTGTCAAAAAAAAATGATAAGGGTATTAATTATCTTATTTTGTTTAATTTTAAAAAAAAAAGGTCGGATGTGGAAGATCGATTTGTCTACCTTAAAATCCAAATTCATATTTTCATCTCCTTTAATTCAGAGAAAATAAAAAAAGTATCAATGGACTTAGAAGATGATTTTTTCATTGAATAGGTGGAAAATGATGTTTTTACGGAAGAGTTAGAAGATTATGTTTCCATTGAAAATGTAGAATAATAATTTGTGTATAGATCATTTGAATTTGTCCATCGTATTTTTGAATTTCTCCTTGTCGAATTCTTTTGAATTTGGATACATCTGTAGTTTTCATATGAATTTGCAGACCTTAGTAGTTTTCATTTACATATTATTTGTTATATTTTTTAAGGGACAATTTTATAATTTCATATGTATGTATATATTAAAGGTTATTTTGGGAATAATAGTGGATGTGGAAATAACATTTGAATTTTATAACTTTTTAAGGTGGGTGAGATTATAATTTGGGTAGGAAAATAAAACAATATGGTGGGTCTAGTAACTCTCTTTCTAAAAACGAAGAAGAAGAAGACTCAGATATTTTTTTAATTAATTAATATATTGAAAATTAGTTTTTTGATTTTTTTTATCCACATGGTACAAATTTAGCCGCAAAGTTTACATAAAATGTAACGGTTGTATGAAATTATAACTAAAATAAAGTTTATGTATGAGAATGAAATGTTTTAAAAATGATATATGAGATCATAATATCTCTCAAACTTGAGGGGGTAAAATGTGATTTATCTAAAAAAATATTATCTATATCTACATCTTTTTGGGTTTGGAAATTTTTTTCCGAAAATTCCAAACCAAACAAAAAAAAATCCCAGTCCCATACGAAAAATTATCAAATTGATAATAACTAAATTTTTGGGATCTATACCAAACCATTGCCGAACCTTTCGGTATGGGAATTGGGATTATATATCAATGGTTTGGGAATCTCTAACTGAACCGAAAGAATATATATATTTATTTTGGTTGCATGCATGTTGAATATTGAATTTAAGTAGTTTGATAGTAGACTATATTAGAAATAGAAGTATGAAATTATGTAGTTTGGAGCTTTGGAACATCAATTTGATTAATATGAATGAATTGGTATTTCAATTGTTATGAAATTTCAAATTGGTATGAGATAAAAAGCTTAAATATCAATTGATATGAAGTTGGGGAACAAAAATTTAGGCAGTCAGCCCAAATTCTTAAATATCAATTGATATAAAAATGGGGAACAAAATTTTAGGTAGTCAGCCCAAATTCTATCCATAGCCTAAGAATCTCAAATTTCAAAACTGAAAATCCAATCCCGATCCATCTCGAAGTACCGAAAACATTTCAGGAATTACAAAAATTGAGAAATTTTGGTTTGGGATTGGTCTTCAAATTCCAATCCTGAAAAGCTAGAGGCGAAGAAAGCTGTGAGAGAAGCTAAGTTAGCGGCTTATGACGATATGTATAAGCGACTAGATACCAAAGAAGGAGAGTTGGATATCTATAAACTAGCTAGAGCAAGGGAAAAGAAGACAAGGGACCTAAACCAAGTGAGGTGCATCAAGGATGAGGATGGAAAGGTTCTTGCTACAGAGAACGCGGTTAAAGACAGATGGAAAGGTTATTTTCATAATCTTTTCAATGAAGGACATGAAAGGAGTGCTTCTTTAGGGGAGTTGAGTAACTCAGAAGAGTGTCGAAACTACTCTTTTTATCGTAGAATCCGGAAGGAAGAAGTGGTTGTAGCTTTGAAGAAGATGAAGCATAGAAAAGCAGTAGGCCCAGACGATATACCAATCGAAGTGTGGAAAGTTTTGGGAGAGACAGGTATAACATGGCTCACTGACCTTTTCAATAGGATTTTGAAAACGAAGAAGATGCCAAATGAGTGGCGAACGAGCACTTTGGTGCCTATCTACAAGAATAAGGGCGATGTACAAAATTGCATGAACTATAGGGGTATTAAGCTAATGAGTCATACAATGAAACTCTGGGAGAGAGTCATTGAGCATAGATTGAGGCAAGAGACACGGGTTTCGGACAACCAATTCGGGTTCATGCCAGGGCGCTCAACCATGGAGGCAATCTATCTCTTACGAAGATTGATGGAAAGATATAGAGATGGGAAAAAGGATTTACACATGGTCTTTATAGATTTGGAAAAAGCGTATGATAGGGTCCCAAGAGACATCATTTGGAGGATTTTAGAGAAGAAAGGAGTACGATGAGCATATATCCAAGCTATACAGGATATGTATGAAGGAGCAAAGACTGCCGTAAGAACTCATGAAGGACAAACCGAAAGCTTCCCCATAACTGTAGGATTACATCAAGGCTCATCCTTAAGTCTTTACCTTTTTGCGTTGGTAATGGATAAGTTAACAGGACATATTCAAGATGATATTCCTTGGTGTATGCTTTTCGCAGACGATATAGTGTTGATAGATGAAACTCAGGAAGGGGTAAATGCAAAGCTTAACCTTTGGAGAGAAGTGTTGGAATCTAAAGGTCTTCGCCTAAGCCGATCAAAGACAGAATATATGGAGTGCAAGTTCAGTGCAAATGGAGGCCAAAACGAGTTAGGGGTGAGGATCGGAGATCAAGAAATACCAAAGAGCGACTGTTTTCGTTACCTAGGATCTATCTTGCAAAAGAACGGAGAATTAGATGGAGATCTCAACCATAGAATACAAGCTGGATGGATGAAGTGGAAGAGTGCATCCGGCGTGTTGTGTGACCGCCGTATGCCACTGAAGCTCAAGGGAAAATTTTATAGGACGGCAATAAGGCCGGCGATGCTGTATGGCACAGAATGTTGGGCGGTGAAGCATCAACACGTACACAAAATGGGTGTAGCGGAGATGAGGATGCTTCGTTGGATGTGTGGGCACACGAGAAAAGGATAAGATTAGGAATGAGGATATCCGGGGTAAAGTAGGAGTAGCCGAAATTGAAGGAAAGATGAGAGAAAATCGGTTACGGTGGTTTGGACATGTGCAAAGAAGGCCTACCGACGCTCCGATTAGAAGATGGGACTATGGGACAGAGGTTCAGGGCCGAAGGGGTAGAGGAAGACCTAGGAAAACTTTGGAAGAGACCCTAAGAAAAGACTTAGAGTACTTGGATCTAACGGAGGACATGACACAGGACAGAACACAATGGCGTTCTAAGATTCATATAGCCGATCCCACTCAGTGACTTGGATTTTCCAAGTCTCCAACCGAGAAGTTTTCCTCACTCGGGAAATTAAGGGAACACTACCTCAACCTACATGCTCCACTCACAAAGCTTCAACATACAAGCTTCAACAAAAGAAAATTCAAAGAACTTAGCGAAGAAGGCTTTGGTGTATTTAACACAATACGTTGAAATGAAGGAAAGCTTATTTATTGATATCCCCGATAAGTTACAAATATGTACATATACTTGAGTCAAAATAAACAAACAGGAGGGAGCCTTCACAAAGGTTGCTTAGGAGAAGTCTCAGCAGTCGGTAGAGCCCCAGAAAGAGAAGGCACCGGAGGGGGATCATTCGGAGCCTCAGTACTGGACAGAACCCTAGAAGGAGGAGGCATCTGAGGTTGATCATTTGGAGCTTCATTACGCGGTACAGCCCCAGAAGACGAAGGCAATAAATGCCTTTGGAACAAACCCACAAATCTCTGATGATCAAGTAAAACCTGACCATCAGATTCCTTCATCTGGTCAAGCTTCCTCTTCATGTTTGTAGCATAGTCATATGCGAGCCGGTGCAACTGTTTATTCTTATG